AGCAATCGGCAAGTCATTATCATCAATTAAAGCATTTAATTCAGTGGAAGAACTCTTATTACCTTCTTCATTCTCCAAAAGATTCTCGTTCGGTTCCGGTTCATGACAGTGTCCATGCTGTGTGGGAGACTCGGGATTAGGTTCAGGGATTCATTTAGAAATTGGTTTTTGTCGTCTCTTGTAAATCTGCAACTCGGTTTGAGGTATTTGAGGCGAAGTGATATGCTAATCATGACGAGGTAAATGTGTTTCGGTGGACTGGTTTGACAAAGATACGTTTTCTGGGTTTGGTAGTGTTGTTTGGTTTGGCTGTAGCGATTTTGAAGGCTTATTCCACTAGTTTAACTGGTTTGACGGTGTTGGTTGATCAAAAAGAGCTGGCTGCAAATCAAGTGACAATTGTTGTGAGTCAACAAACTGATATTCATTATATGACTCTCCCTGAATGGCAGTTTTAAGGAAAAAATGTGTTTTTTCAAAGAAAATAACGTCCATAGAAATAAAGAATTTCTTTGTACGAGGATAATTGTAGATGCTTAATTTGTCTGGGCCTATATCATGGGCAAATGAAAGTAGTTTTTGGGAGTTGAAAACCAAAAAAACATGGAGGGTCAGTTTTATTGGAATTAACTGCCATTGGAATAGAGGGGGAATTAACTACTGTAAAAGAAAGAGGACACACACAGTAAAGGGGGAGGAACCAAAAAAAAAAAGAGGAAAAAAACAGGAGCACAGAGGAAAAACAGAGCAGAAAAATTACACAGACAACAAGGGCATTAGGATAGGAAGACCATTTTTTTTTCTACAGATACAGAACAAAAAATAAAAAACAGTGTAAACATCATTTTCATATTACCAGATCAAACACTGTAAACGAAAAGAGGGGAGCTTGTTGGTTCTTTTTTTCTACAGAGAAGAAAAAGCATTGTACAAGGGTGGATTTTTCCTTTTTAATTGGAAGTCAAATGAAACGGTGGAACTCCATTTTTCATTGAATCAAAGCAACACATAGCCTCAAAAGGGTATTTGTTTTCAATTTCCATTTTCCATTGCTTTCATAATGTTCTTGTGTGTGTCTATGTTTCAAATCAGAACCAAAACAGAAAAATAAAGGGAAAGTAGTAATGTTACCTTAGTAGTTGGGGTCATCGTCGGAGAGGGGAGGCGTTGAAGAGAGAATGAGGCCGAGAGGTCGGGATTGTTTTTGAATCTGTTTTTTTAAATTTCTAACGAGATTTAGACTCAAGATTGAAGGTTAGTAAGGCGAGATGAGGGTTGTAAGGAGTTCGGGATCATTGATTTAGGTCATTGGACCACCGTTTACGGTGGTCGGGGTTAGGAGTTAAGGGTCATGGTCGGTTGTGAGTGGAGAGAATGGAGGGGCTGAGTGGTTTTTTTGAGTTGGGTTTAGGTTTAGCTTATAGTTAGGTTTTATATAAATTTAGGGTAATTGTTTTCGTACCCCTTAACTTTGGCTGCATGTTTTCGTTTTAGTCCCCTATATGATTATTTCGTTTTATTGTTTAATTGTTATGTCTTGATTTCGTAAATACGCAAATTTCTTGAACTTTATATTTTGGATTTGTGAAAATTAAAAAATCATACTTTAATCCCCCATGATTTAATGCTTATTTATAGTTTAGTCACTTATATAAGTTTGTTTTCTGATTTGAACTATTTTATTTGTCCTAATGCTATTATTTTCCAGATTTGTTTTTCTGTTTTATTGATTTGGTCTAATTCTGTTAATGCTTTAGCTTTTATGTCTTAATTCACTGTCTATTATTATTTAGCATGGTTGATTTTAATTACATGTTTATTTTTGTTTAATCCCTAATTAACTTAGTAATTATTCAATTTAATCTCTTGGTTCACCATTTTTGGGAATTTCTATTTTTGACCTTAGATTTTGAGTGCATTATGTTTCAGTTTTATGTATCAGTTTATTTTTAATTTATATAATTGCCGCATTTTGCTTCCCGATTCATAATTGTTATTTATTTAGTTTGCTTAAAGTCTTGCATGTGTATGTATATAAATATACTATTTCTCTTGTTTTTTTATATTAATTCGGTTATACCATATTTTAGTAGTATGATGGACTTACGTGCATAGCTTGACTTATAAATAAATAATCGGACTAAGGGTAACACTTTTAATTTAAAATTGTTGAAGTGGGCAGTCATAACTGATTTGAGGTCCGCTTTTAATGATTTTAAAATAAAAGTGTATCCCGAAAGAAACAAAAAATTGATTCGTCACCTAAAATTTGGGAACGAGAGAAAAGAAATGTTCGTTTATTTAAATATATCGAGAAAAGGTTGTTATATCTTTAAGATCTGGTCTCGATATTTGTAAATAATCGAACATTCTTTATCTTTCTAAAACGACTCGGTAATTTTAATTTAATTTATTTGAGTGCTTTTGAATGTTTTTAAATTTACATCATTGTTTTATGGATCAAAAATTAAATTAAATTTGAATTTGTAAAGTTCATTGCAAAGACGTTAATTCGGCTAGGTACCGATTTAGGGCGTTGTGGGGGTGCTAATCCTTCCCCGCACGTAACCGACTCCCAAACTCGGATTTTGGTAACGCAGACCTTAATTTGTTGTTTTAATTAAAATTAATTTTTATTTAAAATAACAAGCATTTTTGGGTGCCCAATCACACCCTAATCAAAGATTGGTGGCGACTCTTTGAACTGTATTTTTTTCGATCATAAAGGAAATCCAAATTTTTCGAAACGAGAGGTTTTCAAATCACATTTTTTTTTAAATTAAAAAAGTTTGAGAGTGAGTGAGCAATGCAGACCCTTCAGCAGACTGCGAATCAGGAAGCATAACGGTACGTCGACTTTCTTCGCGTCGTACTGCAGAAAATATTTCCCGGATTGAAGGAAGAGGTTTGAGTCCTAATACTCGTCCTCGGACTTCATCAAGATCCCGATGCAAACCGGACAAAAATTGGAATATCCGGCGCTGTTCAACAATCTTCTTGAATAGAGCTGCATCTTCTACACACCTCCATTCATGGGATTCGAACAAATCAAGTTGCAGTCATAGGCGCGACATTAGAGTAAATTACTGAGTCACAGTCATGTTGTCTTGTTTGAGATTGGCAAGTTGACACTCGATCCCAAATAAAGCAATAGAATTTTCCAGATTCGAATACATCGCCCTTGCAACACTCCAAATTTCAGCCGTTGTTTCATATAGCAGAAAGTTTTCCCCCACAGCAAGGATCATGGAATTGATGAGCCATGACATAATCATGGTATTCTCACTTAGCCAGGTTGAATATTTAGGATCTGTCACAACGGGAACTGGTGTGGTCTCCAAAAGATATTGTTGTTTGCGCCGACCGGTTATATAAAGGCGGACAGATTGGGACCAAGCGATATAATTGTCACCATTTAATCGGTGACAGGTGATAGAGGCTGAAGAAACATCAGAAAGGTTTGAATGGGGCGAATTAACAAGGAATTCCGAAGTGACCTCAGAATGAAGAAGTGGCGGAATTCATGATCGACGGCTAGATTTAGGGTAAAAAAAATCGGCTCGATTTAGGTGAAGGATCGGTCACCTAACTGATACCATGTTGAAAATAGGACTAATGTAAAGTGAAGTAAAAGGAATCAAGTGACGAAATAAATTAAATGACAAAAGTAAGGAAAAGTGAAAAACTTCACTTCGTATATTCATCTAAAACAGGTTACAAGTTTAATAAATATATACAGTAGGTGAGAACAAGTATTTAATTTAAACTTAGTAGTTATCCTTATCTATCTAACTTTCTAAGAGTTAGTGTTATATTAAAATACTAACTAATTATCCTTATCTATCGTATAACCTACACTTATCAATCTCAAGGTTTTTTTTATTTAATTCACAACGATGTGTGGGGCCCCTCAGATCCATACTTATTCGGAAAAAATGATTTTTCACTTTAATTGATTATCATACTTGATTGTGTTGGGTTTTTAATGATCAACAAGTCTCTTAAGATGATCTTTCAATTTTTTTGAGCTATGATTGAAAATCAATTTCAAACTAAAATCAGTATCCTACATACTGATAATGGTAGAGAGTATTTCAATGAAACTTTTGGAATGTTTTAAAAGACAAAGGTATTCAGCATCAATCTACTTGTGTTGATATGCCTCAACAAAAAAGTATAGTTGAACGCAAAAAATACACTTATTGGAAGTGACTCGTGCTATTATGTTCTCTATGCATGTACCTAAATATTTTTGGGGAGAAGATATTTAACTGCATCAACGGATACTGCTTTTCATGAAAGTTCAATGGGGAAAGATAGAAACCGGATAGACCAGTTGTATAATAGGAGAGGTGGTCAACCAAATCAGTCCCTATCCACGAAAACAATGGATATTTACCATGAATTATGCATATTGATACAAATTCAATGTGTCCACATTTTAATGCTATCTAAATGTAATCTGAGAATGATTTAGGTTATCATGGTTGGAGCCTTTTAATTAAGAGGAAAAGATTAATGATGGCCAAAGCAATTCATAAAACATGGAATAAAGAGCTATGTTGCTCCAAATCTTCATTTTACTTGGATTACCTATATATAAAGCACATTCGGATGTGGGTAAGAAGACATGAGCCTTATGGATGAAATTGAATAAAAGGACAACAACAAACGAGAGATAGTGTGCGTGTGTGTGTTTTGTGTTCAGTCAGAACCACTAAACATCACAACCATAACAAAAAAAAAAAAAAAAGCAAGCAAAGAATTACTAAAATGCAATGTCAATTCTAGCATAACTATTCCATCACGCACTTGAAAATTCTCCAACTTAATATCTCAATTCTTTAAAATATTATTCGTTTGCATGTATGTAGTAATGATCAAAGGATACCTTAACATAAGAAAGTTCACATTTATCTGTTTCACGCATTGAAAGGAAACAAACAGAAAGGATAATGTGGAATGAATGTAGCAAGACAAGGGAAGGGGGTGGAACAAACCTTTTTCGAAAGAGGGTTTCCACTCGATATCAAACCCAATACTAACTTGACCCGTTTCCTTTTTCTTATCTTCAAGTATTCCCAAAAGCCCCATTGCAGCCTTTTCCACCTCAGCTTCTGTTCTGCTATACAAAATTCGACCCCCAAATCTCAACGGCGGATATCTAAGCTTTGGGTAAGCTGCAAAATCAGAGAACCGTAGGGTTCACAAATTCAATTATTTTAATTTAAAAAAAATGGATGAAGTGATAGAAAATACATTGACAACGTGCGAAGGAAAATGGAAAAGAAGGTGGCGGAGAGACGATGGAATTGGGTAATCTGCGGCGGGTTTGGGGGATATCTTCATGATGGATGGTGGAGTTGCGTTTCTTGAGGAGAGAAGAGGGGGACGAAGATGAAGAAGAACGAAGAGAGGCCTCGATGGCGTCCATTGACTGGATGACTTGTTCTGTAAAATGCTGGTCCCAATCGGAAGTGCAGCCACCGCTTTCTTGGAATTCCATTTCGACGTCGGAAGTGGAGGGAAAGCGAGATCAGAAACCTGTAACGGGGTTCAGCTTTAAAACGTTACAAAATCTCTAGAGTAGGGTAAATAAATAGTCCCCGGATTATAATAAATTATTTTGTTTAATAGATTTACATTTAGTTTTATTTTATATGAATTTGGAACAATAAATAATCGATTATCATTTTATAAATTTTAATATTCGATAAATAACACCATACAATTAAAGTATAATTTTATAATTTTTAATAATCAGAAAATTCAATAAAATAATATTTTATAATCAAATAATTATTCATGTATTTTAACTAAATTTTTTTTTAGAGAATAGAATCTTGATTGATTTCTCAAAACTTTTCTTTACAATCTGGTTGGATAGTCAAGTGAACCCAAATCTATACTAAAATAATTAAATTTTGGTTTGAGTTAATTGTATTATATGTCTTCAAATTATAATCTTTTTTTTTAAATTAGTCTCTAAATTTTTTAATATTCTAATTTCATCCTTAAACTGTGACTGACTTTCTAAAATAATCCTTAAGCTTTTGAGCATTTCAATTCCAACCTCAAACTATGACCTTCATTCTAAATTAGTCCCAAACTTTTTTAGCACTTCAATTTCATCTCAAACAATACATATGTATTAATTGCATCACTTGTTAATAAAATCATTAGGCCAAGTTATATTATTTGAAACTAATTACATATTTAGATGAAATTGGAAGATTCAAAACCGGACCTCCAAGCATTGCCTACTTACCAAATGAGCATCTATGTGTTGTCGTCTTCATTATGTTGTGATTTGAAATGCGTTTTTGGCAAAGTTTTGGTGGCGGTCTGATTTGGATGGCGGAGGTATTCACCGAATGCTATTTTATCGGTTCCTTACTTGTTACTGCAATTCTGGATAGGTACGTATGGCGGCTGGTGAAACATACTTCACCGTTCACAGTGCTTACAATATATTATTCCGAGTGCAACAATATAGCGAGGTCATGATGTTCGCCTAAGATCTTTATATAATCTCATTTGGGTGCAAGCCGATGCCAGCCAAGGTTCAGGTTTGCCTGTGGAGGGCGTTTCATAATCACCTCTCTTGTTATGCTACATTGTTTCAGAGGCACATCAGTCTCTCCCTACTTGCTTCCGTTGTGGGACAGCCCCTGAGACTCTTCTGCATGTGTTTCTCCATTGTAATGCTGTGCAATCGGTGTGGTCCTTGTTTGAGTGGGGGAACTTTCCACGGTTGGCAGCTTCTGATTTTGGTGAATGGCTTCTGCAAGTGCTATCCCTGCTTCCCTCTATTGACGTGCCTAGGCTCTTGATTCTTCTTTGAGTACTGTGGGGGGCTCGTAACAAACAACTCCACCAGGTTGTTCTTCTGTCCGATGTTGAGGTTTTTCACTTTGTAATGACTTACCTGTCCGAGTTTGCGTAAGCACAAGTTCCATCAAATGTGGTTTCGTTTCCTGTTCCTCATATTTGGCACCCGCCATCTCCGGTTTGGTTGAAGGTGAACTTCGACGGTGCCTTTGATAACCATGCACGTATAGGAGGGATCGAGGTTGTTATTCGTGATTCTGGGGGTAGGTTTTTTGCTGCTGCATCCAAATTCATATCCCATGCACTCAACCCTTTCCACATGGAAACACAAGCCTGTTTTGAGGGACTCCTCGCTTATGTTCGTGGTTGTAGGGCTGTTGTGATAGAGGGTGACTCTCGCTCTGTTATCTCTCGTGCCTCCTCCTATACTTATGATGACTTTTCTGCATACGGGTCGGCCAGGTAATGGTGTTGCCCACGTCTTTGCTGTGGAGGGCTTGGTCTCATTGGCGTCCATTGTATGGTGGGATCAGGGATGGACCTAGAGGGGGCGGGTGGGGACGGTCGTCCACCCCTAAAATTTTCAAATTCCTATATATTTTACTCATTATCTTTGTATTTTCAATTGAAAATATGTTTTCGCCCCCAAAATTTTATAAGTTCTCACCTACTTAAAATTTTATAAATTTGTCCCTCCTAACATAAAATCTTGCGTCTGTCCTGAGTGGGATATTCCTGCAGCCATTGCCACTGCTTCATCAGAAGGGGATCGTACTGCAACATAGTTCTTTTACTCATTATCTTTGTATTTTCAATTGAAAATATGTTTTCGCCCCCAAATTTTATAAGTCTCACCTACTTAAAATTTATAAATTTGTCCTAACATAAAATCTTGCGTCTGTCCTGAGTGGGATATTCCTGCAGCCATTGCACTGCTTCATCAGAAGGGGATCGTACTGCAACATAGTTTCTCTGATGGTCTCTGTTTTTTGCTCTTTTACTGTTCTGGTGTGTTTGTACTGGACAAATATGTTGTTTCAAAGGCCAATATATTCTTTTTTTTAAAATAAAGTTTGGGAATCAATCTAAAATGAGAATCATAGTTTGAGGATAGAAATTGGAATGTTCAAAGTTCAATTACTAATTTCGAATGAGAGTCATAGTTTAGAAATGAAATTAAAATATTTAAAAATTTAAGGAGAAATCAAAAATAAAGGTCAAATTATAGTGTAAATTATATTTTACCTTTTAAAATAACTACTACACAGCATTTCAAATAAAATGGTGCTTCAATGGAACTTGACTTGGGTCACAATTATTTTCCAGAGTTTTGGATGTTCAATCAAAGACCATTATTTCCCTGCTTCATTTGCAATTAAAACCCAAAAAAGAATACATAAATTAGTACATGTTTTATGCAAACTCAGAACAAAAACTTGAAAGTCATATCAAATTGACAGTAAATAAAGACACTTGAAACCGTATGTGGAAGAAGAAGCACTTGCATCTTGAAAACACCCGTATGCTATCAAATGGTATTTAGATCTAATCCTTGTACTTCATTTCGGACATCTTGAAGCCAGGCATATCGAATGAGGATGCAAACTTCTCAACGTCAACCTTCAGCTCTTCAATCTCCTTGTTGTTGTCCAAACCTTTGTTGAAGTCCTTCAAGAGCTACCGTGTTGCTTTTGGATGTTCAAAGTGATTGTCACAGCTCGGTGGAGGAACTCACGATCTGTTCGAAGTCCTTCTCAACCAAACCCTTGAAGTCATGGCAGGGGTACCTACAATCAATTCACAACTTGCTTCAGATGTCAGTACAAGGGCCATCTAATAAAAAATTGACCAAACTTTCACTTAAGATGATCCAGAGTAACTCAAGATCAAGATATTAATTAAAGCAGTACTTCTTACCAATTCTTACACCTCCTGGAGCCAAGGCACTGCTGTCACCGAAAACAGCATTCTTGTTAACAGTGATGTTGGAGAGGTCACAAAGCTTCTCAACCTTGTTGCTGTAAGGACACGATAAAAACGATGAGAATTCAATCAAATACAATAGTTCAACAACCAAGAGGCCTAGTAATTAACCAACATACCAGTCAATCCAAGAGGTCGGAGATCCCAAAGAACAAGGTGGTTCTCAGTTCCACCAGTAACAAGCTGGTATCCCTTGCTCATCAGGTACTTTCGAGTGAAACGGCATTGGCCTTAACTTGTTAGCATAAGCCTTAAACCCAGGTGACATGGATGTTTCAAGGCACAGCCAGAGCACCAATCTGGTGATTGTGAGGACCACCCTGAAGAGGAGGGAAAACTGCGAAGTTGATCTTGTCTTCGAAGTCATACACACACCTTCGGGTTGGCCCTTTTGCGGCTTTGGTCCCTTGCGGTAGAAGATCATACCAGCCCTAGGACCCCCTCACTTGTGTGTGGTGGTTGTTACAATGTCGCTGAACTCAAAAGGGTTTGCCGCCTCCTACTCAAACAATAGAATCCATAAAATTAATAACGTGAAATTCTATTACTGCATTAAGGAATCTAATAACAAAAACATTACTAGAAAAAGAAACTTTGACAATGACCTAACAACAAAAACAATTTGATGGGGAAATCGTAATTAGATCCACCCATATCACCATTGTTACAGACAGAAGCTTCATTAGAAACAGGGATGTACAGGGGAGGGCTGGCGGGTGGCCGCCCTCCTGAAATTTCAAATTCTCATATATTTAGATATTTCATTCGTACTTCTATTGATAATCTGTTTTGCCCAGTATAAAATCATGCATCAGTGGACCTGATTAGAAACCTATTAGACTGAATCACATTAAGATTCTCAGATCTGGTAATGTTTTAATGAAAAAGCATTTACCAATGAAATAGGTTCCACTATAGAAGTATAGATCTAAAATATTCACCTCAAAATTCAAGAGAAGAGTATAAGTTTAACACAAATTCTTCCAGTTCAAATCAGCTACTAAAAAATGAACTGCATGTATGCATTAAAAGATAGAATAAAGCATAGAGAGATATAACTGTAATGCAATTGTTTAATTAAGATTAAAACACAAGCTACCACCAAAATAATGTCACGTCAAAATCCCAAATCCGGAATCTAAACATGATGCTGAATGACACAAAATCCAGTTCCAATCCATAAACAAATTAATAAACAATTGAAATCCCAAATAAAAACCCAGATCTAAACAACAAATCACTATCATGCAAGATAAGATAAAGAAAACAAAATAATAAGATCAACTAAAACAATATACCTGAGCAGCAACAAGGCCACTAATGTGAGCCATGTACACAACAAGAGAGCACCGCACTTATCAGCGACGGCCCTAAACTTAGCGTAATCCCAGTCCCTAGGATACGCACTTCCACCGCAAATGATAAGCTTAGGCCTGAAATCCAAAGCTCTCTTCCAACTTATCATAGTCAATGTAACCCAGTGGTGGAGTTCACCTTGTAAGGCAAACTCTCGAAGTAAACGAAGTAGCCGAGTCTTCCACCGGAGGTGTAATACCCATGGGTCAAGTGACCACCGGAAGGCAAATCAAGACCCATGATCCTATCATGGGGCTGGAGAACCGCCGTGTAAGCGGCGAAGTAGCCGGGGAACCAGAGTAAGGCTGGACATTGACACCCCATTGGTTGGGTCTAGATGGAAAGCCTCGAGAGCGCGAGATCTGCAGAGGTTCTCGAT